GATGATAGAGAAGTTGCGAGGGGCCGGCGCAATTCCAAGGGAATCCTTTCTCCGCCGGTGTGGATCAGATAAATGCTGCGCCCCTTCATTTCAGCTTCTCCTGAATTGCCCCCACATGCGCCATCTCTGCTCCTTCCAGCATCCGGCCCTTTCCCCATGTAGTGCGCTATGAGTTTCAGCACACAATCAAACTGTGGGGGCTCTAGGGTGTTTTGAGGGTCTGGCTGTAAAAAGAAGCCGCCTCCCTCGCTGTGGATGCGCAGGTTCTTGGTTCCACGAGCCGTCTGCACAGAGAGTGTAAAGAAGTGGTGGTGGTCCGATGAGTCGCGGATCAGGAAAGTTCCAGGTGGTTCAGAGCGCAGCAGGGAGCTGGCCTCCCGGCCCCCTACAGCCCCCCAGTAAAAACCACTCTCCTGTAGCTTACGCAATGCAAGCATCACCTGAAATTGGTAGAAAACCCACATTACCAACAGTACCATGTTATCAGCCACTGTGAACATTCTTCAATAACACATTCAGTTTTTTCTCTAGAAACTCAGGTGTGACTGACCTGCTGGTAGTGTGCATGCGAGCTGAAGGGTTTGTAGTGATGCGGGGTGAAGTTCGACCTCTGAACCCTGGCCCCCGGAGGGGTCACGCTGCTCATGGCGAGGGGGTTGCGTCCACTGAAGGCTACCATGGCACCATGGCCCCCTGCCTCTGCATGCTGGTCGAGAGGCAGGGGGCCCACAACAGGAGTGTGGAGGTGGACAGGTGGGAAGGAGTTTGGGGCAGGGGGAGAGGAAAGAGAAGGGGAATGGGGTAAGGGTGGTGGGGTCACACACCGGGTCCAGGGCCCCGGGGCAGGGGAGTCTGATGCATCCAGAGAGGGGCTGGTAGAGAGCACCTAAACACAGCTGGAGAGGAGAAAAGAAGGATGTATGGATTATGTGTATCCATCTATATATAGACTGATACACATATGCAAAACTTAAGTCATTCATAAACATGGACATAAATAAAGGACAACTTTGCCTCACTGGAGCTGGTTCACCCCAATAAAATGCAGTTATGGACGACAGTGACAAATGCATACAAGATTGGGCTGCCAGCAGGCAGGTTATATTTAGTTTAAATGAATTCTCGCGCTGAGCCTGCTGCAGCTGCACCGTGCAGGCAGACAGCAACTGGATCCTGATTGCTTTCAATTGTCTTCGATCGGGCGTACCGCAACAAGGGATTTCAGAAACGGGGTCAGTGTGAAAGAGTCCGGCGCGCTTTTTTCTCCCCCTCTTTCACTAAATAAGTCCTTATTCCCTCCTCGACCAGCGCCACAGAGGCCCCGTTCTCCGGTTTCACTGTGACTAAACGGGTGTCCCGTCTGGTCTGGTTCGCTCGGATCCCCTATAGGGTAGGGGTGAATTAAAAGTCGGCTTCACCGGACAGTGCGGGAGCGGTTGGAGCAGGAGGCGCCATAAAGGTTCAGAACCGCTACAGGAGGAGAAGTCGGTCCCACATTCAAATTTAGCAAATGATCCCCCCAAAAAAAGACTTGCACCCCGCGAGGCTGCACTGCACCACGAGCCCAAGCGGCTAAATCACAACAGCTGTGCTTTTAATCTGCACGGTTACCAATCTCTTTTCTGTCACTTTGTCCCACTTGCATGATGTAACCGCTTTAAATGTTTTTTCACAGTCTTTTAACTTACCTTGCGGATTTGTTCAGCCCCGCACCGCAGCCGCTCGTCGCCAAAGGAAAATATATGCAAACTACCCGAGAGTAGTGCTAGATTAATTATTAACTCAGGCATTAAAATCTAAAAAAAACGTATCCAGAAAGTGTGTGGGTTTCTTTCCTAAGCGGAGGAATGTGGCGGCGGCGATATCTGCCGGAGAGATCCTGTCCCTGTGTGGAGGAAGGTTACCGGAGGTTGTTTCCAGTGAGTAAAGCCGATGTTCGTAAGGCTCCGCCTCCTCCGCTCAGAGGTTCTTCCAGTAAACACACGCACGCTCGCGCACACATGCACGCACGCAAAGAACAGACACACGTGCTCGCGCGCTCCCTTGGCAGATTTCCAATAAATAATCAGCGTGACCTTTGTCGGGCTGTTTCCTGGTACTGGTAGGTTCCCTTCTTGACAAGGTGAACACGTTAGAAACTCGACATATGGAACAATACAAAAGTAGAATACTGTTAAATTATTATTTGAAGGTTGCAGACTTTATTTGCAGATACAGATGAGACTTTGCCATATATTGTGCAACCTGAAGACCTCCAAATCATATTGTCAGAATATACTATTGTACTATGCTTTATGCACCTTTGGACTCATTATTTCCACACACAAACATTCAAATGTAGAATAGCTGATGATCTGAATAATGTGATTCATAAAAATACCCAGTTCAATTCATTCAAAATAATATTTAAGTCAGTAAAATGCACATTTTATTATACATATTATTTTATTAACAGTTCTGTACCTACTGAATGTGTGAGCAGCAAGTTAATATTGTAGCTGGTCAAAGTGGAGCTGTAGTAATTTTTTACTGCTATAAAAATTATAAAGAAACATAAAATGGAAAGAAGTCAAACAAAGTACCTCTACATTGTACTTAAGCACAGTACTTGTTGTTAAGTAAATGTTACTTTCTACCACTGCAATAATGTAGTCTGTTGTAATGTATATAATGGACTGTATAGCTTTTGAATGTTATATTCTTTAATTAGTTATTTTATTTATTCCATTTAAATAATTAATCCATTTCCTTTAGTCAGAGCCAGTCTCTTGTGCTGCTGTAACACGTTACTTTCACCCACTGACGATCAATAGATAAAAAAACCCTTACCTTAAGTTAGTCAGAATATTAGGCTAGATTACAGCCCTTTCATTTCTCTTCACTCCCCTTTTTCACAACATGACAGATGATTAACATTTGAGCTATTACGTGCTGCCTAATGTTTAAAGATAAGGTCCCTCAGGCCCTGATGCCGTGTCAGGAAGCGTCTGACTTACTGTAAGTGCTCTTGAGCAACAAGCAGCAACAACCTGATCCTGACCTGAAATAGTCCGCTACAAGCAGAAGTCCTGCTTTCAAAGTCTTACTTAATTTTAAATATGTTTGTATTATCAGCAAAATCAACTGAAGGTATTAAAAGTAAAAGCTCTCATTATGTAGAAAGGCATATTACATGTTATATATCTTATATTGTATTGTTTGATTATTGTTAATGGTACATTTTTGTGTAAACAGCTTTTTCACATTATATCTGGTCGGGTGAGCTATTGTTAAGTGCTTTTAATTATTAGGTTACACAATACATTGCATATGCCCATCACATGTTTTTAAAATCTGTTGAGTAACTTTATCTGTCAAATACAGTAAATGTAGTGCAACAAAAGTACAATATTTCCCTATGAAATGAACTAGAGTTTAGGTATAAAGTAGGAGACAATGGAAATATTCAAGTAGCCTAAAGCACAAGTACGTCAGGATTTTACTTTTTACTCATTACTTTCCAACACCGGTGATGAGAAAAAGCAAAAAGCATTTCCTGCTCTATCAAAGAGGAAGATACCATAACAATAACCACACATAATATACTATAACAACCACACAACTATAATAACAACACAAAATACTAATTATTAATGCTCATCCCATGTTACTACTACTATTGGGCTCCCACCCTACAAATAGTGTCATTACTGTGTTACGATCAGCATCAACTGGTTGTAGCAGTCCTCTCGTGCTAAAGAGGTATGAAATCCCCATTCCGACCAGAGGAAACACCTGTTTACACAAAACACTTTCTCTGCATGACTGAAAAGATGTGATCACTCCTTTGACATGTGATATGGAGGGCAAAGATCAAGCAGGTGTGAGAAGAAAGCCATGAAGTCCCACTATGCTGTGGGCCTCTGGTGAGCTGTGTACACATGCTAAAATGGCAAACTACAAAATTAAAGTAGTTTGCATTTTGACCACTAGAGGTCATTTAAAGGGATTTAAAAGCTTCCAAAACATAAACAAATACACACAAACAGTAACATATTAAAAGTGGTGGGCAGTAACTAAGTACATTTACTCAAGTACTGTACTTAATTACAAATTAGAGGTATTTGTAGTTTACTTGAGTATTTTCTTTTTATTCACTTTCTACTCAGAGGGAAATATTGTACTTTTTACTTTACACTTTACACTTTACACTACATTTGTCTGACAGCTTCAGTTACTTTAAAAATCAAAATCTTTACACACAAAACACACGAAGAATTAAAAAAAATATTTTTTTTGTTATAAATTCAACTCCCCATTAATTTATAAGAGTACAACTTGTACAGTCATCAATTGATAGAAATTTAATTGGCAACTCTTTTGATGATTGTTTAAGACATTTTTCATGTAGAAACATTTCATGGTTCCAGCTTCACAAATATGTGAGGATTTGCTGCTTTTCCTCTTGATTATTTTAATGTATTTTTAATAATTTTGAGGTTTGGACTGACAGAACAAGCATTGTGAAGGAGTCAATTAGGGCCCTGGGAAATTGTGACAACATTTCGATTAATGAAAAAAAGAAAATCAGCGGATTAGTCCAAAATGAAAATAATTAATTAAAACAATAGTTCAGCCTCAACCAACTACAGCAGTAAATTCATGCTTTTACATTAACGCATAAGTTATAATAATAATATTATATAATAGAACAACAGTCACGGGGACATTTTTTCTTTCGGCTTTGAGTACTTTTACAGTACATTTTCCTGATTATACTTAGCCTACATACTTTTAGTTTAGTAACATTTTCAATGCAGTACTTTTGCTTGTACCAGAGTATTTTTTACAGTGTGGTATCAGTATTTTTACTTCATTCACCACTGCATATTATGTATCTGTATTTTTTATTTGTTGTTGCAGGTAAAATTATAATAATTAACGTACTGCTAAGTGCAGTCCAAGCCGTCGTTTTCTAACACCCACTACATTATATACATAGTGTCTGTGAACTCGGCGCTTTTGTCGATAAAGTTTAGTCAAAGTGTCTCTGCTGCAGCAATGGCGGCTCCCATGTCCTGGAGGAGGCTGGTGTACTCGGTGTACACACCGGCCATCGCCGGGGTTTTTACCCGAATATCTGACAGACTCTTCCGTGCACGGGACAGAAGAGGAGGGTAAGAGACACGGCTCATCCACGGAGACACAAACATGAGGATAAAAACACGTTATTCTGTCGCAGCACCCCTCTGTCATGAAGCAAGTTATTGATGTTTTGCTAATTCGTTCATTACCGGCTACGTTGGTCTTGTTTTGATTCAAAGACTGCTTGATATTTTAACGCGTTTAGCCACCAGTTTGTGAAATTAGGCTGTCAGGTTAGCAGACAGCAGGGAAAACGTCAGAGAAAGTAGAGGTTTCCATGACTGAGGACATGCTGTTCTTCTCCACGTTTGTTATGTAACACAGACCGTCTCACTGCTGAAACCTGACACCTGTCCCCATCATGTGACACGCAGAGGTCTTCCTTTCAGTCATGTTTATTGATTACACAGGTAACTGCTCACTAGCACACCTGCGGATAAATTACAGGAACTGCATGGCACTATTTAAACTAGCAGATGGGTGTAACGTCTTTGTCCTCCCTGGAACAAGGTCAGATTATTGTCATTTTTTCCACAGCAGACAATTTAGTTGTGACAGGTGTAACTAATAACGTTAATGACGTCTTTGTTGCATACAAGTGTGCCAGTAAGTATGAGCCAGCATGCGTAATACCAAGACCCCGAAACTGAAGCAGCTAAATGGAATTCAACCTAAATTACTTTTATTATTTCCAACTGTGACATCGCTGTGATAATTTTTAAATCACCAAAATTTGAGAGACCTAGGTTGGATAATACTAGAGATGAAACGGTATGAAGATTACACATCTTAGTGGCTGTAATTATCACGGTTATCAGGGTAGTGTTAAAATGTGCTGAAATTATCGAAATGTAACTTACTGATACACCAACTGAGTGTTTTATTGAAAACCACAAATAAAATGAACTTTTTGTTTGCATAGCCATTAAAATAATACAGCAAGGGTTGTAGCCAATTCTGTGGTCTGGTCGCTGCCACACCGACCACTGGTCACTACCACTAGGGGCGCTAAAGATACTGGTCGCTGCCCCACGAACCACTGGTCTAGCTTGGATTCAACCAACAAGTGGTCACCACACTTTCCTTCACAGGTGACAACACTGGTATCTTAGCGCCCCTAGTGGTAGCGACCAGTGGTCTGTGTGGCAGCGACCAGTGGTCTGTGTGGCAGCGACCAGTGGTCTGTGTGGCAGAGACCAGTGGTCGGTGTGGCAGCGACCAGTATCTTTAGCGCCCCTAGTGGTAGCGACCAGTGGTCTGTGTGGCAGAGACCAGTGGTCTGTGTGGCAGCGACCAGACCACAGAATTGGCTACAACCCCCTCTCAAATAATATCAACCAATACCTTATGTAGACAGCCGGATTATAAATGAAGAAAATATGTCGTTAGGGTGATTAAACTACGTAACGTGTTATAAAACCTGTAATCGTTTCATCCCTAGATAAGACACAATGTGTCCCTGAACAAGATGCTTAACCTCAAGTTGTTCCCGAGGCGTGCAACCTCTGACTTATAGAGCAATTGTTAGGCTGTTTCTGGTTCATTTGGCATCCTGACAAAATCTACACACAGAGGCGACATTTCTCTTGCTGTCGGTTTATGAAAAGGAAGTAAAGTGCGGGCATGGAGCCTGAAATCTGTTATCCACATACAGTTTGTTTCTTATCTTTTCTACTACTTTGATTGTCTCCTGGCATTATCTCCTCCAGCACTTAGGCAAGGTTACAAAATGTGTGTGGCTTAGGATTCGATATTAGTTTAGCAGTCATTTTAAAGACTCTTTATATCACCAATATCAAAGTATGGTAAAAGTATATGGCCAAAAAGATGTGTGCTTTTTGGTGTGGGGCTGTTTATGGTTTAGGTTCCTTAGTTCTAATTAAAAGATAAAGATTTCTTAACAGTATTGTTGTTGTGCTTCCAACTGTTTGGGGACCACCCTTTGCTGTTTCAACATGACAGTGCCACAGAGCCAGGTCCAGAGATGAATGTTTGGTGTGGAAGAACTTGACTGGCCTGTGCAGGGTCCTGATCTCAACCTCAACACTTCTGGGATATAATGAAATTTTAACTGTGATGCAGGCGTTGTCACCCAACACTCAACCTCACCAATGCTCTTGAGGGTTAACGGGGAAAAAATCCCTCCTGTCAGGTTGTAAAATGCCTTCCCAGAAGCCCATGGTTTTAAAGTTAGATGTTCAGCAATCACATATAGGTGTCATGTTCCAGTGTCCACATACGTTAGGCCATGTACAGGTGCTGGTCATATAATTAGAATATCATCAAAAAAACTTGTGAAATGTGAAACTTGTATAATGTATACATTCATTCCACACAGACTGATATATTTTAAGTGTTCATTCCTTTTAATTTTGATGATTATAACTGACAACTAATGAAAAACTGCTGGTGTTGGTCCACTGTGTTTTCTGAGGTCCAAGGTCAACGCAGCCGTCTACCAGGACGTTTTAGAGCACTTCATGCTTCCTGCTGCAGATTTAATTTTCCAAGAGGACTTGGCACCTGCACACAGTCCCAAAGCTATGGCACCTGCACACAGTCCCAAAGCTACCAGTACCTGGTTTAAGGACCATGGTATCCCTGTTCTTAATTGGCCAGCAAACTCCCCTGACCTTAACCCTATAGAAAATCTATGGGGTATTGTGAAGAGGAAGATGCGATACGCAAGACCCAACAATGCAGAAGAGCTGAAGGCCACTATCAGAGCAACCTGGGCTCTCATAACACCTGAGCAGTGCCACAGACTGATCGACTCCATGCCACGCCGCATTGCTGCAGTAATTCAGGCAAAAGGAGCTCCAACTTAGTATTGAGTGCTGTACATGCTCATACTTTTCATGTTCATACTTTTCAGTTGGCCAACATTTCTAAAAATCCTTTTTTTTTGTATTGGTCTTAAGTAATATTCTAATTTTTGGAGATACTGAATTTGGGATTTTCATTAGTTTTCTGTTTTAATTATCACAATTAAATGAAATGAAATATATTAGTCTGTGTGTAATGAATGAATATAATATCCAAGTTTCACTTTTTGAAGGGAATTACTGAAATAAATCAACTTTGTGATGATATTCTAATTATATGACCAGCACCTGTAGTGTCTTGCTTTTCATCACTATGTCATCACTATGTTAAAATATGTAATATTTACAATATGATTGTACTAATATTGCTCGGATCTTACATCTTAAGAGCTGCGAGAGAAGATAACAACCAACTTTTCCAGTTTGCTGAATTAATCTAGGTCAGTCGAGATGAATGAGGATGTACGCAAGGCGATCACGAGAGTTCCCAGACAGGCAATTTTTTTATTCTGAGGAATTATGAGGTCACATGCTTCAAATCATGAGGGATGTGGCGTAGTCACACACCAAACTAAACAGCTCCTCTATTCATTGGAGATACTAGCTTGAGCCTCGTATTATTAAATTAATCTCTTAACATCATTAAATCATCTCAGCTACTATCATGAAACCGCTCGTAATGTGCTACACTGCTGGAACAGAGTGTGCAGCATTTAAAAAACTTCCTTCTGTCTTCACACCTTTTTGGTGATTAACATATCTACCTTGACTTTGCTTTTTTTCCACTGTAGCTTGAGGTAATAGTTTATTTTATATTGGTCCCCTAAAGTACTGAAACACAGAGCTGGAGCAGAGGTCACAGTGTTCCTTATCTCTTGTCGCACTCTCTTTATCTTTTCACATTACATAAGCATACTAGCAAGATTGGCGTACTCCTTTTTTATTGTGTTTGTCATATAATTATGTTTATTATTCTATTTTGATTTTAAATGTTTGTTTATATATTCTGTGTGTGTAGCGTGAACTTTCATTGAGCCGTCCTGTGTTGTAGAATGATAAATAAATGTACCTTGAACCTTGATTTTACACTGCTGTAAAATACAGATAATTCAGCTTAAGCTGTATAGATATGAGGAAGTCGTCTTTCATGCTACAGTTATTTTATCATAGTACTCTTAGAGGAATTTGTGTGTTTATGATAGGACTCAAATTTCAAACAACTGGGAAATCCCACCCTCTCTGTGTTTGCTATAACTCAGTCAGCATTGTGGCTTTGGAAAAAAGCCTTGAGCTGTGTCTTCTGTTTTTAATGTGACTTTTGTTTCCTCGGACTTCATGTAGACAGTTTTTGTGGGACAAATCCAAACCAAAACGTAAAGTGTGTGTGTGTGTGTAGGATGAAATTTGATCATAACTGAAGGAATTTAGTAGAATGACTTTTGACAATCAGCCTCTGCGGGTCACAGACATGTCTGAGGTTGACACTCCACCCTGTCTTTATTTAATGTGGTTGCATTGTCAGGACAAATTGTGAGCTTGTATGGCAAACACAAAAGGGCTGGGGTGAATTTCTGGACACTGACAAACGAAAACCAGATACACAGTTAAATATTCTTGTGGATCTGTGCGCTTAAAGATGAAACAATTTAAATTAGTTTCCGTCATCAAACATTTTCTGATAGTAAACTGACTTATCTTTGGTTTTTGGACTGTTGGTCGAACAAAGACATCACCTTGAGCTGGTGAAATTAAGATTACATGAATCGATGATGAAAATAAGCTATAGTTGCAGCCCTAGTTTAAATGCACTTAAAAATCCCAACCAACGTTTTGTCCGGTGTCACGCCCGACCGCACACCTTCCCTGTCATGTTATGTGTTTGAATCTAGTTCACTTTGGCCAACAATTACTGTGCAGTATTTTGGTGTGTTCAAAGTGCTGGTGGGAAGCTCTGATGTGTGTCTGCTGACGGCAGCAAGACAAAACGTGATATTTAAAAAACTGTTTCCCTGTGATAGTGCAAACTGACTCGTTTTATCGTCCATTATTCAGAAAGTCGGTGGTTCGATCCCTAGCCCCTCCAGGCTGTATGTCAGCGTGTCCCTGGGAAAGACACTGAACCCCAAATTGCTCACCGTGTGTGTGTGTGTGTGTGTGCATGATTAGAGGCGCTTTGAGTGGTTGGAGGACGTGATAGGCGCTATATAAGTACAGTCCATTTACCATTAGTCTCCTCAGGCAAACTGGAAGCACGATTCATTTTCCACTGTAGAGTCCTGCAACTTCTCAAGAATTCATTATTCTGGAAATGTTTGAATCAACCCACACTTTCAGCTGAATTTCCATGCAGACTTTAAAAAAAAAAAGAAATACAAATAGTAAAAATACATTTCTATTTGCACTAATCCATTATCTATAAGGGGAACATTGGCATAATCTCTTACACTTTCTTATCCGTCTGGACTTGGTTTGACCTGATAGTGAGTAAGTAACTTCAATCCTAGGACAGAATTAAGGGAGAACAATAAAAAGCTGGTGACAAAGGCTAAAACAAGTTTGTGTATTAATTTATATTTTTTACTATGCAGCCTATCATGATATGGTAGATGTATGGAAAATTTATCACATTGATGAAATTCAAAGTTCAATCTTCTCTTTGGAAACAGCAGTCGACACAACAATATCACGCTGAATAGTTGTTACGTGCCGTCCACTTTCAGAGCTATCTGCTCTGTATTCTGAGGTGTAGTGCAATAAAAACATTACCTGCATTTTTAGAATGATGAATGATAAAATAATAAGAGGGCCATTTTACCCTTTGTTGCTTGGGTTTGCTGCTTGTGACATCTGACGTGTGATATGATTGAAAGCTACTAAACGTACGTTCTGATGAAGTTGTTGAGTCGACCTGAAGGTAAGTGCCCTGAAAACAGGAATAGTGTACAATTCGTAAATCTGTGCAAACGTTTTTGTGGTGGAAAACAGTGTGACATGATCGAAAGCTCCAGTTACTAAAGGACCTTGTAGTGAGATCGTAACATAAGACAAAACCCTTCACACATGTAAAACTAAACTAATTTTGTTAGTTTTGTAAAATGATAACAAGCGATCACGATAACATCAGATTATTGCCCAGCGCTCGCCAGTTTTTCCAGTGTCCTGTAATAAACATGTAAATACACTTGCACATTAAAGAAAACTATTGTAAAATGTTCAGTTGAACCAACATAAAAACAAGTTCATGCCATGTCCACGTTTCCCCCAGGTCCTCGGTGCTGCTACTAGCCCCCCTCCTGGCTGAAGCCGACCCGGCCCCCCGACGTGTCTCCAGGCCCACCGGGTCAGCTGGGGCTCAGGGCACAGATGGCCTCTGCACCCGCTTCCAATGGATGGCAGAGCATGTACCTGCCTTCAGGGTGCCAGGAACCCACATCCACATCCTCACCTCACCTGATCAGTTCTACCAGGCCATGAAGGTCAGTGTCACTGTGAAAATAAGCATTTTCTGATGTTCCTGCTGGCATGTATTATGACAGATGGATGACAAAGAAGGCAGGGAAACTATCTGACTGTTTTGAGTTGACAGGAGTAAATTGTTCAGCTCTAAACTGACTTGTCTCCTCTACATATGTGTTACACCTAATCCTCGTTAAATAAATCTGCTTGAAATTTTGCCTTTACAAAATGTTAACACAATTATGAAAATATGCCACCCTGCACATTTAAGTAAAGAAAGGGGCACATTTACAATTAGAATTAAAACTGACTACTGGATTTTCTTTCAGATTTTTTTCTTTTTATTTCTTGACATAGTCCCACACCTGCTGCGTGTCATTGGATTCCTTTTATGTTTAGCCTATTCAGACGTTCCAGGAACAAAAAAACAGGAATTTGCTGCAGTTAATGTGCTGCCAGGCAGGAGTTCCCTCATGGAAAGCCATTGTTTCGCTTTAGACATACAAGAAATGGGCTTCTTAATGCTAATTTGATTTTTATGAACTTTTTGACCCCTGATATATTTACATTTTTGTATATAATGAGGTCTAAAAATACTACATAATTCACCTTTTAATGCTCATGTGGGTCATGATGAGTTAATGTTATGTTATGTAAGTAAGTTCATGTAACAGGGGTGTGTGAATGGGTGTGATTCACAAAAGCATTTTGTTGTTTATTGTCACTTCCCCATAACATTGAATGCTGGGAAGGCTCTAGAAGGTCATGGAGTTAATTTAGTGCCAGCACAAATTGAATCTGAATGTAATAGTTTTGATTTTGAAAAACACACACGTATAGCACCCTTACCAAAAGGAAATTAATTTATGTGATTAATTAATTAATTTATGTGATTAATTTCCTTTTACACTAATTTTAGTGGTGGAATCTAAGTACATTTACTCAAGAAATGTACTTAAGTGCAATTGAGGTACTTGAGTATTTCCAGGATGTTGTTTATGTTCTGTGGAACCTTATTTCTTTTTAAATGTCATTTTTCAATCCTGTGAGCACCATAACCTAAATTTCCTTCACCTCTATGTTTTGAGATGGAGGCAGAAATCTCAGAGAGGGATATCTAAAAACCAAAAATTCCCTTATCCCTAATAATCAACTGTCTACCTCTGTCCTAGATACAACTAGAGATGTGACTAGATTTGTGTGATTAACAGGTCTCTCTGGACATTTTGACTTCCAGAAAGGACCTGTCATTTCACAAAAAGGACATTTTTCTTACTCAGTTTTTTTTCACAGTTTGCTTTTTATTTTCTGAAAACAGTATTTTTTGTTTGGTGGGTGCTCTGGTGGCTCCAGGAATCGGGTGAATTTTCTTGTGCAGACTGAATGTCTGTGCACATGACTGGCAGGAAATGTAGCATTTATCATTTCTTAGTATCAGACATTTGTGAGATTCCATTAAATCACTGTTGTTTGTTTGTTTCTGTTTTTCATTTCACTTCAGGCACGAATCAAGACAGCAAAGAGGCGAGTGGTGATGGCCTCGTTGTATCTGGGAACAGGTCAGCTGGAGCAGGAACTGGTGAGAAAAGTGGTCTGTGTGTGGGAAGCAAACCTTTTTTTTACGACATCGGATGGCATTGTTCTCACCTGCCCAAAACTAAACACAGGCGCGTGCCAAATAACTGGTCAGAGATGCCAGAAAATGTGAGTCAGTCGCGTTCCAAGAGAACCGCGGTGTGGTTTGTTCAGAATGAAAATGTACTACAGGCTAACTACAAGGAATGACCCCAAAATGCAAGGGTTTGTGGGAATAAGGAGACCAATCTTGGCATGTGATAGCCTGCTGTTCTTCATGCTTGGAAAGCCTAGCATAACAACATTAACCCAAAGCAAACCACAGTCTGGACTGATGCTCATATTCTGCTGTTTTTCGTGTTTTTTTTTTTTTTTTTTTTTTTTTTTGGGCAGCAGAGAGGGTGAATTACAGAAAAAGGCACAGACAAGTCAAACATGCTGTATTACAGTTAAAAGCATTTGAATCGGCTGTGATTGCTGCCAACTCTGTAACCTCACAGGATGATGGATTACTAGAAATGTTGAGTCAATAAGGTGCAGTGAGTCCATATGAGTTTTATTTTTAAGCCAAAGTTTGCTTGTAATTGGACACAATAAACTCAATACAAAAATGTGAGTATGGTTTGTGGTTTACACTGAAGAATGCAAACTGCAGGAGTGATTTCACCATAAAGTAGGGACGCCTAAATTAAATAAATTTTACCGAACAATTACATTGACATGTCGGCAGTGTGGAAGTATTTTAAAGTGTCGGAGAAAGACGCAAAACCTGCTGTTTGCAGACACTGTTCTGCTGAATTGTCTCCTAGCACATCCACTCCATCTATGGCTGACTTCTTAGAAAAGGCAACAAATGGTCTCACCCTCTTTGAGTGTTTCTGTCAGTTGTTTCTAAGAAGGCGATTAAGCTAGCTGCACCTAAATTTGGAGTGCACACGTATTCGAGCCTTTATGGTAAATCCACCGAAACAGATCAGTGCGAGCTGACAGGCAGGTTAGCGACTTTATCCTGTCATTTTCCCTCTTTCCAAAGACAAGTGTTGCAGTATGAGAGTCCTACCTGAAGAGAGGCTGGGAAGTCTTCATGTTACCTGATACGGGAACCACATACAACATTATTTATCATATTTGGTGGGACTCAAACTCAATGTTACATTTCTCTCCAGAGCAGAGCTGGAAGCGTTGGGGGTGGTGATGTCCCCACAGAGCTCTCCACTGGAAAGAAGCAATGTTTTACTGGCATGTAAGCAGGCACTCTGGGGTGACTTATAATGAATGGGCACCAGATGCACAGTTTAGCCGAAGTAAAACAGTTTTGATATCAGGTGGGGGAACAAATGCCAAGCACGCCGCAAATAAAGATGGTATGCTCTATGCTCGTGGTGCCCTCTGAAGAGCTGCCATTTCCTCTTTGTGCAGAAAGGAGTTAGTCATGCTTTTCCCACACTCCCACAGTAAACACATAATAAAAGCCTGTGTTTGCTGCCAGTTACTCAATAATCTGTTACTTTGTTTTGTGTAGTGTAACTGTGCTTTCAGACCAAAAGCGAAGCGAGCGTTTGGGCGGTGAGTTTACATGCAAAGACGCGATTTCCTGTCGAGCGGCGTGAAGCAGGGATTAAATTTGCGTTTGGTCTGAAAGCACCACAAGAGCAACATGGACATAACTATTGTGCTGTCCCACTTTGTGTGTGTCTTTCAAAGAACATGTTATGCTGAAAACTGACCATCAGTGTCACCGGCTGACTAAAAAAAATAGGAATACACACCTTAGTTTGTGGTTTGCTGAACAATTGCATGAAGTGACAAATGAAAATGTGGTAACAGGCAACATTTTGTCACAGTGACACAAGTTTTCTGCCGGAGTGAAAAGAGCGGAGCAGCTAGAAGCTGTAGCTCATTTGCTGATGTTCTTTAGTTTGTCTAGAATCTTGATTTCTTTCAAATTAAGATAAAATAAGTAGGGCAGAAACTAATTGACTATTATCATTATTGAATAATAGTTTAGTTTACAAAATGAAAAAATAGTGAAAACGGCCCAGGGTGACTCTTAGATGTCTTGTTCTGTCTGACCAACAGTCCAAAATCCAAAGATATTCAATTTACAGTGAAATTAACGTAGAAAAGATTAAAGGGTTATTAATTGTTGCTGCTTAATTTTCTGTTGATCAACTAATCAATTAATCGTTTCAGCTCTTCAGATGTACTTTAATTTGACAGACAGATTTGACACCTTGATTTCAGTACACCATGTGAATAGATTAGAATTCATTGTAATTTGGAACTTGTATTTGGATTAATTGCATTAGTGTTTATGTGTGTGTTTATCTGTTCGGGGACTGCAGATGTAAATTAGCCAACTTTGTGCAATGGATGTTTGCCTGTCTGTCAGATGGAAGTGATGGAACTCTACCAATTTTACATATCATTCAGTCTGTTGACAGGTGGTGGGGGGCTCTGAGGCTATATTGGCTGCTACTAGCACAGGCGGTCAAGTTTCATTGTGGTTAATGTAGAGGTCAGATTCTGAGAAGGAAGAGGAATATGTGAATAAAAAAGATCTCTGGTTCTGTTGCATCGATTTTGATCCTTCAAACTATCACGAGTGCTAAATTGGTGTATTTCTCTTTCAGTCATGTTTTGATTGTCCTCTGCTTTCTTTGTTTTTCTTAAGGTGGACTGTATGGAGGAAGCTCTGCAGCGTTCACAGGAAAACAGTCACGCTCCTGACCTAAAAGTCTCAATATTGCTGGACTACACACGCGGCTCACGAGGTTGTTGACATTTCCCAGGAGATCTCTTAATTGCAGGGTTAGCAGGGAGCACCACGCTCATCCTCCTGAATGTAATTTGTTTGCTTATATTTTTACTTATTTATTTTTTATGTGCAGGACAGATTAACTCGAGGACCATGCTGCTGCCGCTGTTGCAGCGCTTCACCTCTCAGATGCGGGTGTCTCTCTACCACACTCCGGACCTGAGGGGGCTGCTGCGGCTGCTCGTCCCTCAGCGCTTCAATGAGACCATCGGAGTACAGCACATCAAAGTCTACCTGTTTGATGACAGCATTATCATCAGTGGGTATGTTGATTCCTTGACAACACCCATTGCGTCAATATAACTGTTCTCACACTCTCACACTGAGTTTGCTTGTTTGACTTAAGTCATCTCTCCTTCTCACGCCTGTCTGTTGTCACCTTTGGTTAGGCTTGTTTTTGGTCCATCACGTGTTTCTCATCAAAGTGCAAGTGTTTACCACCATTGCTAGGAAATGTTTTCGGTGTACGCCATTGCTCCAGTGGCAATGAGCATAGTGATGGATTGTGCTGGCTGTTTCCCCTCCGTTTCAGTTCAGCACACACAATTGCACATGCTTCTGACACTGACCTGAAGCGACGGCTTACGGGGAAAGTAAACAAAAATACCACGTGCACTAAACAATAGAGACTAGTGTACATGTACCTTATTGGCCTAAATAGAATACGACATTCCTTTTGCAAAACCTGATTTTGAAAAAGGAGATTTTAACACACTTTCACACTGGTTATTAATGTTTCCCTCATCTCTGAAACCTTTTCTCCCGTAATAATATCATTAAAGCTGAACATAAATCCCACAGTAGTGTAGCTTGTCTGTCAGTCTTGGAAGCGATCAGAATTATTTTGTGGCTGTCAGAATTTTTCAAGCTCCGAGTGATCTCTGACAGGGTTCATTCTCAGTTGCTTGACAGATGATTCACTCTGTTTCTACAGTGAAGAAGTTCGGAGACACTTTGGACTCATTTTATGTAACAGTTATTTGATACAAGAAAAAAATAAAATGGATAACCTTGCTTGTCCATAACAACAATAAAAATAATAATAGGCCACGAATCAAGTACTATGGTTTCAACAATTGGCATTTTATGCAAGGGACCGAATGAAGTACTCTATTGGTATCGGTATCACTTTAATGGTACTGGTTTTGGTACTGGTATCGTAAATTCTTTTATGAAATATAAGACCACCCCCAGAAAAAGAAAAAAACAAATACATGGCAATTTGGTATTTACATGTCTTTTTATGGCTTAATTCAAATGGAGGGATTGTACTGTCTGCCAAAACTGAAGATTTCAATCAAAAGGTGAAATTAACAGGTTGCACACACCCTAACAGACAATTGTTTAACATGAGTAATTTTGCCTACACTTCCTGCTGCTGTTTTGACAGTCAGCTGTCAGGCATCCAAGGTCATACCTGCTGCCTAATGTGCTATAAACTCCGTTTAAGCTGGTTTCCCTGGTAAGTAACGGCCTGTTCACTGGAAGGGCCAGATGGAGAGCAGCGTGTATGGGCAGGTGGAGCCTGAAGGGAGCATGGCCACATGTACAAGGGGTAAAAAAAACAAATACAAAGGCACCTCCATCGCTGCCTTTCCAGGAAAAGAAAATCCTACAGCATCAAGTCAAGCATCAGTTATTGCTGACAAACTCACTGACACCCTGCAGCAGCAACAACCTAAAACTTAAAATATGTGAAATGTTAAGTAAATGTATCTGACACATTCATTTAGGCCACTGTAAGTCACAAGCTATTTAGTCCAAATACTGAGGCTGTTAAGTTCATCAAGTTAAAATGTTGACATGATGTGAAAGTTTAACTGCGAGATTCTTCAACTGACTTGAGGAAGTCAGCTAGATAATTTCTCTGGAAAAGAGTCACCGCTCCACTACACCACTACAAAAGAACACATTCAGGACTTATTAACCAGAGAAGAATCTTTTCATTTTAGTCGTTACACAGTTAATGATAATTAACTACAGATTTAATCTGAAAATTACATTACATTTATTCATTTAGCTGACGCTCTTATCCAAAGCGACTTACAATTGCTATTTATGTCAGATGTTGCACGCCTCTGGAGCAACTAGGGGTTAAGTGTCTTGCTCAGGGACACAGTGGTGGATGTGTCACAGTTGGGAATTGAACCCAGGTCTCTCACACCAAAAGCATGTGGCTTATCCACTGCACCATCACCCCCCCAAGGAGAAGCCTGCTGCCTATCAGTATGTTTTCCCTTGCTCTTTGCTAATAAAAAGAGTGAAGACAGATGAAAGGTTTGATAAGAGATTCGTTAGCATTTGAGCTTAAGTAATTTGGTAACCAGGAACCAGGTCCAAAATGGACCCAACTTTTGTCCCTTCATCCTTCTTTTTCCTCTTGCATTCCCCTTGCCAAAACACCTCTGTGCTCTCTCTCTCTGTTCCCCGGTTTCTTAAAAGCGGTCTTCTCTCATTTTTCAGGGCCAACCTGAGCGACTCGTACTTCACCAACAGACAAGACCGCTATGTGCTGCTGGAGAACTGCAGCGAGCTCGCCGACTTTTTCTCCGACCTGGTGGAAGCCGTGGGCGACGTTTCCCTGCAGCTTCAGCCTGATGACTCTGTCAGCATACTGGAGGGCATGGTGCACCCGTACAAAGGTAGAAACCAAACACTTGACTGTGTGTGTGCATGTTTACACTTATAACGTGTTTTGACACAGTTTGACACTTCATGCTCAGTGGCAGCATCCCGGTTTTCAGCAAGAGGGGCCGATGGATTTTGCTAATGGAGCTTGAAAGCTTAGGCAAGCGAATAGATGATGGTCATAGTGTGTGAGTGTGGGTGTGTGTTTGTGAGTACAATGAGAAAGATGGAGAGAGCTCTTGCGGTTGGCTAGCCATGCAGCCGGATCTGAAATTGTCAGGATTTTCTACACACACACACACACACACACACACACACACACACACGTACTGTGTGTCCGTAACTGGAGCACAGAATGCCAGGATGTTAGTTTGAGGGGTGAATGACATCATGTCTGCAGGACTGGACAGCCGCTGTAACGAACACCAGGAATAGAGTTGTGGTGTTGCTGGAAGACAATACGCGGCGGGAACAGTTATTCAGAAACAAGCCGATGGTGAAATTCTAATGAAAGACATTAATAAGAATAACAGAGGAGATCTGTAACTGATTTCCAACGAAGCATCCTAATAACAGACGAGGCAGAGGCAAGAGTGAACTGATAATATATCACATAATACTGTTGCTGTGCAGATACCTGCAGTTTAAAGGACCGGTTCACCCAAATTATTCAAATATGTTCTCACTCATTTCTAGTGGACTGAGAGTCCCTTTCATTCATTCAGCCTGACATTGTGTACACAATTTCATGTTGCGAGACGGGTATTTTGTTTAATTTTGGATTAACCAATCAGTAATGAGTGACGCGTATTGCCTTCAAAAAAATGTTGCTTTAAAGGTTCGGTGTGTAAGTTTTAGTGGCATCTAATTTAGAGGGTTGTGAATTGCAACCAACTACTCAAGTCTCCACAACTTGGCGACTTCCATGTACCCCGGTGTATGTAGACAGAAATGGCTCATTCTAAGATAATAAAAACATAATGGTTCATCATATGAGGTCTTTATACGCCGCTGAAAACATAGTTATATGTGTATTATTTAGCATTTCTTTCAATAGATCTTCCTAAATATTACACACTGGACCTTTTAAGAAATGTTGTTTCTATGGGCTTCCTTTTGAGTGGGGACATTTTTTGTTGCATGTCGTCATAAACACGAACAGTCCAGCAGTCAAATTTGTGAAAAATATGGTAAAGCCCCAATGAAAGCAGCCCAATGCGACAACAAGTGTGTCCCATTTATTTTCCAGATAGTGCAGGACTCTGCAGCTGGGTGAAAATTTTGTTTATTTTATTCAAATTATCCGAAACTAGACTCCCTTGTGATTTCTGAAAAAGTGGTGTCGTGTGGGACAAGAGATTTAGTGGAGAAGAATGACGTCATGTAAATTGTGGTAGAAAGTGCAGGTTGCTTAATCACACAATGTTTGCGAGCTACTCACTAGCCTTTGAGCACAAGTTATTACTTTCCAGTGTCTTCTGTGTTGTGTGGGGGCGAAAATTTTCTTCACTGTCTGTCTAAACACATCTTTAAATTGATGGTTAAACTATTATGAGGTGTCCTCATGTACAATTCGGCCATTTGCCACCCAATCAGAACCAAGCATTTTCCAAAATAACAACTCTTCAGCTTAGGTTGTATTTTTATTTCATCCTACTCTCTGCTTCATGCTCTTAAGTGGCTGTAAATTCTCTCAAACACATAGAGAGCCCGGAGCACTGTGACCCAGAGGGGGCAGGTTGACCTATCTCCCGCTGCACCCACTTAGCTTTATCTGTGTATATACTCACATTTTACATCTCCGTGGCAACCAGGCAACAGGCAGGACTTCTCGGCGGTGGCGAGGAATCGCATCATGGAGGTTGTAAACGCAGCCCACGTGAGGCAGCGGCTGATGAACGGGTCGGAGGACGAGGGGGAGGAGGAGGACACCTGGGTGTTTCCTCTGGTTCAGATGAAACCTCTGGGGATCCAGGTGGACGAGCAGGTCACACAGGTGAGCCCCCCCCCCCCCCCCAATGACAGTGACCTCTTCTGATCTGTCACGTTTGAAACCATAATTTGTGCTTTGTTGGAGTTGACCTTTTGCTCGCTAACTTGTTCCTTAATAACAAGTAATAAATCTCATTAGATGAGGTCCTTTGTTGTCATCAAGGGATGTTTGGAACATGTGACTAATAAACTGCCATGTGACTAATTAACCATGATAAATATTTGAACTTGATTCAGTTTTATTAGTCTCACATTCTAGGAACAAATGCAATAAAATGATCAGAGCAATAACGTAATTCAGTAAAACAGCAGCACACACTGTGGTCTTAAAGTACCATAAAAAGTTTAATCAGCAGCATCTCCGCGTATATTTAACATTTTCAGTTTCACAAAGGGAAGACTTGTTGCAGGACTATCCATCATTGGTTGCTTGGTAACTGATGGTGATGCGGCTGTTCACAAACACAGCCCGTCTGCAGGTTAACGTCTTGTTGTGCACATATCAGACTCATCTAAAAAATGGAACAGTTTAATCTGATTTTAATCTGGATTTTTTTTTCCACATGCACCCAAATGTTGTTTCAGTAAGAAGAAGATGACCGATTAAAGTTTACAATAAACAAGGTTTTCTTGCGTCAGACATTTTCCTGTAATAAATTTAAAAAGATATCTAGAGATGAAAAGAAAATGAGCTGTGTCATGCACCAGAAAACAGATGACTATAAAGTTGTTTCACTAGCTGGACTTATTTTCTCGCTGATGTTTTTAACGATGAGAATAACCAGATTTAAGTATGTGTATAAAAAGAAAGAAGTAAACAGACAAAATTTATTTTTGACTATAATTCCTGACTATATGAATCTCAAAATATACAAAATTTGCAAAAATAAACCTCACATAATTAAACTGAATAGCTCCATCAACCAGTAACCTCTAACCAGAAGTTCAACTAGTAAATCAGACCAAACTCCAGTCAAGAAATCAGAATTTTAAATAGTGTTTACAGTAATTAAAAAAGACTTGAGCAAACATGAGGAAGGAAATATTATGCACTGCTGCATTAATCAGCATGTTATCCTATTACATTTATTGTTATCAAGATGAATGTGATAAGCTCAATAGTGAGCTCTATGTAATAAAACACTAATATCCAGCGTAGTTTATAGCATAGCAACCAGTTCTACTTGTTCTATTTTGTACCAGGAATTAGAAACACGTCTGCAACTCATCTTTCCTCACTCTCCGTTTCTTGTTAAACCTCAAGCGCCTGCTGACAGACGCCGGGCCAGACTCCACTGTGTTTCTAACATCGGGTTACTTCAACCTGACCCGGGCGTACATGCGGCTGGTGCTCGGGGCCGGAGCCAGCTACCGCATCCTAACCGCCTCCCCCGAGGTCAACGGGTTCTTCGGCGCCAAGGGTGTCGCCGGAGCGATCCCTGCAGCTTACATCCACATCGCCAAACAGTTTTACAACCAGGTGTGCCGGCTGGGCCAGCAGGAGAGAGTACACCTGCACGAGTACCACAGATCAAAGTGGACCTTCCACGCAAAAGGTGGGAAAAACAACAGCACTCACCACCATTCCCACTATGGCTGCAACTAACGATTGTATTCTTCTTATTAGTTTGTCAAATTATTGTTTAGTGAATAATAAAAATACGCCCTATCACCATTTCCCAGAGCCCAACAAGATCTTAAAATTACTTGTTTTGTCAGAACAATAGTACAAAATCTAAAGAAAGCATTGACAATATAAGCATCGACCACACCAGGAATGTTTAGATCATCTTGATTTATTAGTTCAGTCATACAGATGAATCTGTGAATGATCAGCAGGTGTGTGCTTATAAATCTGCTTGTGATGGTCAATGATTAAATTCAAATCATGTGACAAAAACATCTACATTTCTGAACACATCATCTGTATGTATGGAAAGCACCATCCATATGCATGTTCCATATGCATGTAATAGTTTTTACTTTTGAGAAGTAGGAAACTGAGGATATTTGGCAGGCGGGGCGTTTTGTTTTGCCTTAATCAATCAGCAGTGATTATCAGTCAGCACAGAGGCTGTGGTTGTGGCTGCTGAAGCCATTAACTTAAAGTTTTTGAGGACAACTGCTGCAACAGTCTCTTCCTTGACGCTGTTTTTCAGGGATGTGGCTGGCTGTGCAGAAAGATGACGTCGACATTCTTAATAACGCAGACAAAACTACGATTTATCAACAGCGTCTCCGATGGGTTGAAACAGCCATCGATAAGCACAATAGCACCTAATCTATACAAATGTCAGAACAAATATAGGGACGATTCAGAGGTCTAAACTGAATTAATATACCGGTTTATCTCCTTGGTGTTTTGACTTGTGTGCTTAGAGGTGCTTGAGGAGGAATCATTTATTTTCATTATAATTCCATCCATAATTAACACAAGGATAGAACGTGTGACTATTTTGGTCATACTCGTTCTGTAATAAAACATCTATAAGCAAAAATCCTATCAGATGGGCGACCCTGGGACAAAATCTTAATTTTAGGGGCCCTTGATGTGAAAAAGTTTGAAAACCACTGTTTAGTCTCTGTAATTACCAAAAAAGAAGACATTTTCGCAGTGATGGCACCCCTTATTTAAGTGTTCTTCACGGAGTGCTAACGGTCGATAGCTAACATTATGTTGTAACAATGTTCGTAGCAAACAGTTTTACGTGCTGCAGGCAGTAGCACACCATGGAAGTTGACAGCACACCTCCTGGCAGTGCTGGCTCTCAGCTGTCGCTCAAACAATAGGAAACGCCCACTCGGAGGCTGACAGCTTACACAAATATGTCTGAAAACAGAAATATTTGCACAATAGCCGCAGCATCATTGTTCATTTTTCGACTGATTGTTTCTGCAGAAACTCCCACATCAAATCAACATGTCTTACAAGAGATTATAATATAAGCCAGGGTTGGCTGTCCAGACTAGTTTTATGTGGCTCAGTGAAAATAATAAAGCACATTACTCTCCCTGTTCTTTTCCCTGCTCTGCTGTTCTTCTTGTGGTCCCGCTGGTATTTAGCGTGAGAGAACAGGGCTTGTACAGTCATTCTGTCGTAGCCTCAGGACAAGGATGTGTACACTCACTCTCTCTCTCATACTTTGGGGTTTTGGATCGACGCTGGGGATTTCTGCATGCGCTTCCTTTTAGTTGTGGTCTGGGCCGACAGAAATCCCTGCGAGAAACGGCCCCTCTGAAGCATTACCACCTTACTAGCTCACTGCACTTTTTTTCCTCTCCTGCAGGCCTGTGGTATTACCTCCAGGGGCAGGATCGACCTTGCCTCACTCTAATTGGCTCCCCTAATTTTGGTTACCGCTCGGTTCACCGTGACCTGGAGGCCCAAATCGCCATTATAACGGAGAACGAGGAGCTACAGAGCCAGCTGCAGGAGGTCGGCTCTTTTTTTTTGTGATGAATGACCGTGTAACTCTACTGAATACACACCTGTGTTTTAAACTGTGTGCCTCTTAGGAGCAGGAGACGTTGTACCAGTGCTCCACTGAGGTCTCCGGTTCTACGTTTGAGCGGCCGGATCGCCACGTGAAGCTGTGGGTGAAACTAGTCACTCCCCTCATCAAGAATTTCTTCTGAGATGCCACCAGGTGGTAAAACAAAGAAATGTACACACTTGCTACACATGAAATGTACTCACGTGTTAAAGGATTATTCCAGTTTTTTAACATCTTGAATTTAATTTATTTTAAGTGGGGAATAAAAGTCCAATTGGAAAAGAAACATGAGCAGTTCACCCAACTCTGCAGCTCTCCTCAACTGTATGAAGCGTTTTAGAGTATTTAAACTCATGATTTTGGTTTTTACGGCTGCAACTTTACTATTTTGGTTCAATCTCACATCGTTTCCAGACGCAGCAGGCAGCTGTTCAGAGAGAGAGAGAGAGAGAGAGAGCTCTAAAAACCCACTGTACACTTCCTGCACAGCCCAAAAACAGCAGAGACACAGTTAAGAGACTGTCTGGTGAACATAGTGGAGCATTTAGCTGCTAAAGAGCCAGATATTTCCCTCAGGAGTTAGAGAGACCAAAAACGGAGCTAAATAGAGGGTGAAATATTTATTTAGATTCATCAGATGGACAGAAATGTGACTTCATAATATAATAAAGAGGCTCTGTGTCTGCTGGATGTTTAAAAAGGCAACTGTCTGCTAAGAAGGTCACCAAATCAAGCAACATATCGATTCTAAGTTTTAATAATAGTCATAGCCAGACCAGTTCAGCCAAACAGTAGACAGAGAGAAGAGAAAAATCTTAAATCACCCAAACTGTCTGTTCAGAGACCAACTTCCTGCTTCAACTTTGACCTACAGCACTTTCTGTGCAGTGAGGGATTATTACCAACATTTCAGGTGCACTCGCTTTGCATGTTTTCTCCAAATGAAGTGGTTTAGATAATTTCACTAAGCTTTTTACAGCTCCCCTTCAGACTTTTGTTGTTGTTTTAAGGGTTGCAGCAGTATTCCTGTCATCATTACTTTTAGACAGCACCATGTTATTAAAGCTGATTTACTAGATATCAGCTTCCAAGGAAACTTAGTCAACCATGTTATGTTTATTTCTGACCCCCTTGTGTTCCCTTTAATTAATCCAACTTTCTAAAACTCCAAGAGCCAGAAAAACCTTGAATGTTATTGATTAAAATTCAAGTTCTTCTTATCCAAACTAAAGTTACATCTCAGACTGGTGTTTTACCGACTTTGTTTTATTCTTCATTGTTGTTTCCTTTACACATGCACACTAAACATCCTTACATCTACGTCTCATGAACACTATAAATATATATACAAATTTTAAGCAGAATGCACGAGTCAGAATATACTAAGGCTGCAAACTAACAATTTAATTTGTTAATTCCTTAACATCTCAGAAAAGCATAGAGCCATGGTGACATTTTATTCTTGAAAAATGACTTTTTAATATACATATGAGAACTGACTAACTTATAGCCAATACAAATGAAAGTCAAGCGAGTATTAATAAAGCAGAACTTTCCTTAAAAATATGTTTCACATCTCCCTGCAGTTGTGTATTTCCATTTTTGTCAAATTCAGATTGATTTTTGCAGAGTAGACAAAATACAGCCCTGAACATACTGAACACAAACACACACACAGTAAAACAGGCTGTGGCTTCTTAGAAAATGCCTGCAGTCATTGTGGCGTGTCCCAAATCGCAGGTCCCGTCCTCGCCTTCCCAGCAGCCCAAATCACCAAAATGAGAGCAGGGACAGTGTGTCGGCTGATTCACTCCTGTCAAGAAGTGAGTCAGTGCGGCGTTATGGTGATGATTTGACAGTGTGGTCTGTGAGTCCTGTGAGGACTTGGCGGGGTGAAGCTAGAGTCTTCGTCAACACTGAAACACTGAGTCAACAGTGAACATTTCAAGTTAATTTTGAAGAGATGTGTACTTTTGTTTGTGAAAACAGAAGATGTTGAAGGCGCAGAAGAGGTAGTAAAAGACAAATTAGAAAGTAAGGTATGTTTTATAACTCAAGTTCCAGCCTAAGGGAAATAAGTTAAGATCAAAGCAGAAGATTGAGGAAAAGACACTCAACAGTTTGTCGGGGTTTTTTTTGTTAGTTTCTCAGAACAGGAAGTATGACAGGCTGGATAATGACGGTAAATGGGCGGTGTCTTATCGCTACCTGGACAGAGTCAAATGAAAAAGACACACAAATTGAATGACAACGCTGCCAGGAGGAAACCGTTGTGTATATAGATCTTCCTTAAGCACAAACTCTACTCACAAATATGCACGCAGCAGATGTGAACACCTTTTCAAGACAGTAATGTGAGCAGGATCACATTCAGGCCCGTTGTTTCAAATACTTGTTGTAGTCCTCGTTTTACCGGCATCATGACGCACACGCAGAGAGGTTGGCCCATGGAACTCCTCAGAGACCTTGGGCTAAAAGTTGTGAACTCAAAAACATATTTAGACAGACAAAAAGTTTTTTAGTGACAAATGATACAAAGATTGAGAGCTGGAAATAATAGCTGTGAAATCTGATTTTCAGTGACTTGAGTAAGAGGATTGTTGTTGACTATGGATTTGAAGTATTTTAAGTTGCACTGTTTTCATAATGTTTTCAGAAAGAAACATGAAGTAAATCTGTGAGAGCTGCGGTGAAGTTTCTGGGTTGCAGATCTTTGAAACATCTTTTAGTTTTGACTTATTTCACCTGTGGTTTAACATAATGTGCTGATTTAAGCTGCCAGTATACGTCATTGGGAAACTGCACGTCAGACGGCCGAGTAGCTAAAAAATTTAACTGTATATTTGTGACCCGATTTTAAAGATATACGTGTTTTATTAGGAACCAGTGGGATAAAGGCTGACAGCTACAGAGAGGGAAGGGAAGTCTAAGTATTTAGAAACAGAGTAAGAAAAATGCAGACGGCCTTAACTAGATTTACATTAAAACAACTATATATGATTCACACTTACTTCAATTTGATTCACAAATACTTCCAATTAAATAGAGTAATAGAAGCAATAGAAAAGGTTATATCGACCATAGATATTAGATTTTAGACATTTTATTCCTCTTGTTTTTTTCCTGTGTTTTATCTGTAATGTTTTTTTAATTCTCGTATTTCTGGATCATGGCTTCCTTTTATTCTACTTTTTTGTAACATTCATGTAAAAAAGAAAAATTATACAGTATAACCACTGTCTGAATGTTGTCTGTTGGGTTTGTAGAGCAGTTTGTTCACTCGCTTTTTGTATCTGTCTGGCATTGTGATCTGTGTACTTTACCGCTTATCTCTTTTTTGTTTTTCCTGACAGAGGAAAAAACAAAACATGGCCCTCCAACAATAGCTTTGCCGGTTAAAAGAATAACAAGCACAAAAAAAGTCCTTATCGGCAGCACAGCACACGTCTATTGTTAGAAAGTAGTGACAAAAGGTTGGATCTTCTCCAAACTCTTTTCCCAGTCAGCAGGGTGAAAACACAGCTGATGTTCACACAGCATCATGATGAATGCTGGTTTAACAGGCTGTTGTGAGGGACCTGTCCGCCCTCTAGTGGTTTCATACATAGAACTTCCCCCTGCCAGCCCATCAATGGCTGCAGAGTTCTGTAGGTTACAAACAGGGCCTGACGTTATCTGCTGAAAGGAATAAAGACCGCTCCAGAGGTCTCTTGAGTGTTCTGAGACATGTTTTCGATTGATTGTACAAAATATCATTGGTCATCATGATGAATGAAACATTTGGTGAAGCAGAATGTCTAATTCAGACAATAAACAAGATACTTTGAACATTAAATAGGGTATCACTTCCCTTCTTTTTGCATTTATCAGAGGTGTAAAAAACAAAACAAGCTGGAATCACATCATTGTCTGCACCTTTGGAACTAAATTTTCCCTTTTATATAATTCATCTGATGGATCTCATCCACCAGCAGCAGAATTTATTTTCTCCTCGAGTTATTTATTTATTTTATTTTTTTCCTATATTATGTATTATAAATATAGTAGGTTATTTATTATTGGTTATTTAAATAGACATTTGAGCTCAGTCGGATCTTCGTCAGAGCTTCAAATCTATTTCTAAGTCCAAAGATGGTAGCAGGAAGTGACATGTAAACTTAGATTAATGTACCTGATAATATATTAGTGGTATTTTCCTTTATTTTACCTCCATCTACCTTTTTTTTGGTTGAAGAATAAAAACAACTTGGGGAAACGGGTTAGAAATCTTTTGTTTCTGGCAGCAGATGTTTAATTCAGATTGACCGAAGAGTGTTTGAAGAATTTGGAAATATCTTCAGAAGTTTGTTTTCATGTTTGTTTCATGACACTCTGGGTTTCTGGAAGAAAAGAAACGGATGCTTGTGACAGTGTGGTGATAATGTGAGGCACAAACTGAGGCCAAGTTCTCTTCAGCCTTAACATCCCTGATAACAATGAACCACAGTTGATTAACTCTTACTCAGACGTCGTAGACTAAATACTGAACATCATTTCTCTTTGTTGAGCAGGAGGCAGGTGGCTTCGGTTTTCTTCAGTCCAGATGGTTGAAGGTCTCGGTGGACATCGGTTCGCTCCTGCAGACGGGAGGGCCGGACACACTCTAGTATCAGCGGCATGCTGGGAGTCTTCAGTGTCACCTCGGTTTTAACCCTCAGTGTGTGCCAGGAAGAGAGACTCACACAGGAGCAGATGTTTGTGGTGCATTCAGGGGGTAAATCTTTTCATTTAAACTCCAGATCCTGAATATCTGTTACTCCTTTAAAATTGTTTGTTTCAACACTCGATGTCATCACACTGTGGATTTCTGTTTTTATCACTAACTACAAGTATTAAAAATAATACTACTACTGTACATGTTGCATGTATAAGATAGTGATACAGACTTCAACAGTAAATGTCCCTGATGTTTAATGAAGGCTGTGATGGTTAACAGAAGGGTGTGTTGAAGTATTAAAATCCCTCGAGGAGCCTTAATAACAGTTTTTAAGAGCTCTTGCAGTGAGTTTACAGCTCTAACTAACCTCTAACCACTAACCATCCACTTTCTGTGTGTTATCTTTGTAAATTAAAGGACGATGTGGTGAGTTTTTAAAATTACTTTAAATGTTTGACTTTTTTTTTGTTTGATGCAATGGAGCATTTTTAACCCTGACGTTTTATTTTGAAGATAAAAGGACAACTGCAATGTTCCCGATGTCATATCGGCCAAAAAGGTGACCATTTTCTGTACCAACACCAAACAGCAGGCAGACACAGTTAGCGATTAGATGATGAACACTGTGGAGCATTTAGCTTTGGCAACTATTTTGAGAACCGGTTTGAGTAATTAAGAAAAAGTCCAAATTGATTTCAGCTTTTTTTACTCCTCTGTGACAGTAAACTGAATATTTTAGGTTGTGGACACTAACATTTTATAGACCAAACAAATAACAACAATAAAAAAATAAAAGACAGATTACTCTAATGAAAATAATTGTTAGTTGCAGCCCTAATGTTTACTCCGTAACTGCTGGATGTGTAAATAAGCAACAGTTTACTAACAAGTTGTTTGTTTTTGCTGCCCTCAAGTGGCCAAAGTCAGTTATTGCAGGTTTAAGGGGAAAATAAATAAATAAAAGAGTAATCTTGTAAATTTGCAGCCCCATTATAGGTGAACAAAGTTCATTTTCCATCCTTGTATATGTTTAATACAGAAAGATTCAAACATAGCGAGTAACTGGAAAAAGACTACGCTAACATGTACTTCAAATGCATTAAATATTTGGTTTACAAATCTGATTCTGTCATGCTTTTTGTCCAAAAAACAAAATAAATATTTTTCTGAAACGTGGCTGAAACGAGTATTCTCTCCTATTAAAGTTGTTATGGCTAACAAACAGTTGCTTATTTACACATCTAGCAGTTACGGTGCAACATTTTATATATTTGGAGTCGTGGTTCTAAGCACCTGGTGAATGTAAGTCTAATATTCACTCTGTTTTTGGTCTTTACCAACTCTCTGAAGGGGAATTTCCTGCTCTGCCTCATCGCCTTTCACAGGAACAAGTTTAAAATCTGACAGCAGTGTGATCGCCTTACCAAACATGAGAGATGACCACATGTAGATGAGGAGCAGGAAATAACCTGAGAAAAACCTTGACATTAGATCTTTTTTCCCGATTGAGGTCACTTGTGGTTTCATTGATGGTGTCACAACATTATGATGCTTGAGCTGTTATAGCTATAGTTACACTATATAAGCACTTTGTCAGATTTATTTTTTTTAGTGTCAGTATTTAGTAGTTGGCTGCATCTTCTACATTATGTAGTTAGGATTTGGTCCAAGCTGTATTAAAATCATCCAGAAACAAAACACAAGGAAGCCTAATCTAGTTTGATAAACACATTTTCATTACAAGGTCCACTTCTCCTTGGTGTTTCTCAAGCTTCAAAGTTGTTTTGTCAAGGTCAAAAATGAACCTTCAAGCTCCACCTGAAAGTCCCAAAATTGTCAGTTTTGTCAAATCTAACGTACTTTTATTTATTTTGAATTTTGTCTAAATGAAAAAAGCAATCACACTTTAGTTTCCCGAGAAAAGTCAAATAAAATAAAGTTGAATATTGGTTTACAAACCTTTTAATGAGACAAAACTTTACAATAAATTACAAGAATTCTGGATAAATAAATATTTAGCTATTTATGCATTACCTTCATTTTCATTAACAGTACTTTGACAGAAGACCAACAGCAATAAGAAAACAGGCTTAGAAAAAAGCATTTTTATGGCAAATCAGACTAAACAAAACAGTCCAGCGTCCCAGATGCGATCAGTCCTGCACTTAATGTGTTTTACAGTAGGTCTCTTCTTCTTCAAGTGTTTTTATTGGAGGACAAGGTTTAATCCCTGTCTGGAAAAACCGAGCTCAACTGATCAATAGAGATTGGAAACTTAACTGAAAGTGTTTTTAGGCTCTTCTGAAATGTATCTGAATCACATTAATGTACGATGTGATTTCTCCATCAGCTGCCCCCCCACACACACGTCTGAAAAGTGCAACAACCACTTCTGTCTTTTTCTCACCTTATGTTCAACTATGAACAAACTTAATTCTTGTTTTAGTAAGTGTTACATACTCCCAGCTCTCTTGTTTTATTTTCCATCCAATTAAATGTTTGAGTAGCTGTAGAGACTCGTTGTACCACATCAGCACAAACACTGTCTGTGTGGAGCGGCACTGAAGTGAATCAGACACATTTCAACAGCTGATTTTAAGAGTGGGAGTCCTAACCACAGGGCACGGCATTGACACAGTACTGCAGGAGCAGAGTGTTCAAAAGGAGGTGTTTGAGGATTAAAAAAAAGAGGTCTATGACTGATTCATTTCATCTCCAGACGGGAAATGAAACTATGAACATAAGGTCAAACCTGTGGGTGAGCTTCTTCAAAAGCTGTATCCTCTGTGGCAGGTCCAAGTGTCCAGGTCCACTGCAGCAGCGAGAGTATCAGGTCCACATCCAAGCAGCTGCATTAAGTAAAGAAATGTTTAATCCTCAGCAGCTCTACAGCCCCTTCACAGACGAGACCTTCTTCTTCCGAGCAGCCAGCATCTCATAGAACGGGTCTTTGCTGATGGCAGCTCTGCAGGTGGAAGATGATTAACGAGGGTTAGAGAACACGACATTTAGGAAATCATAATCATGATCATCTGCAGGAGAGAGGGAGTTTAAATGTGGTTCACTTGATGCTGTTGATCCATTCTTCCTTCTCCTCTGTGGTCGGGGCGGAGATTCTGTAAAAAGTGTGGTTGCCCTCAACTACGCGGCCGTCTGCCTCCGTCTTGCAGGCCTTGATCACCTGATCCTTGTGGTCCGGGATGTAGAGCTCAAAGCAGTTCTGGGAGAGAGCAAAACAAACAAGATCTGTCAACATGAAATGTCTGAAAAGTGCAAAAACCAACATGTTATGCGTTTTTCGGGATTGGGGGGGGGGGGGGAATAAATAGATTTCCTGACGACAGGATATAAATCATTAAGAAAATAACTTATTTGTGGTGAGAAAGATGCTGCTCTGTATCTCCCAACACTGTTTTAAAGATGAAAACAAAGAATGACACCTAGTGAGGTTTCAATAAAGCAACTTGGATGTCCAACCACAATAGGTGCAAGATACATACAGAATATCAACATTTAGTGGGGCATAAAGGTGAGATTTTAAAGACATCACCAATAATAGCTTAATTTTCATTTGAACTTTTTGGATACATTTGTTTTTTTTTGCATTCATCACCTTGTTTATTTCCATCGCTATTTCCTGACGTGACACTAAGCTAAATACCTTTTACTAAGAGAGAAAAACAGCAGAAACAGGAAATTATAACTAGATGTGGCAGATAAAAGATAGAAGAAAGAGTTTACCGGCTTCTTGGAGTCATCAACTTCTCTGATACTCAGGTTTTCCAGTGGAATAATTCCTCTGGGTTCCTTATCCTTATAAACAGCAGAGAGAGGGACAATAAATACAATGAGAGAGTACTTACTTAAGCCTACGTACAGTATTTAGCAGATATCTCTTAAGCTCCAGTGTAGCCAAATAGGAAGTACTTACAGTCGTGTATTCAAAGTAGTAGAGGCAGTTATCTGTGAGAATAAACCAGCGTCTCTTCCAGGTCTTAACTCGTCCACCTGAATAGAGATTACAGGGGATCCATGACTTCAGTAAAGACAGAAAACTTCAGTTGTTGGAATTATATGACGACGGCAACCCTTTTAAGCACACTGACAGCACAAATCAGCAGGTTAAATTGAGCCGATTGATCGCAAAGATGAAAGCTGAGGGTAAAGTTTGGGCCCAGCGGTTAGAAACAGATGTGTCCACATCTTGGCTCAACAACATACAGCACAGGGTGACATTAGATACAAATAATGAATTCTTTATTCTGAATCAAGGTGAAGGTGAATGCACACAGCCAGTAGGATAAAAAGGCAGGAGGGGTGGGGTGTGGGCGGCTCAGAAGCAAAGCAGTGCATTAAAGCTGGGGAGTTTAAGGGTACGTACCTCCTGGAGTCAAAACCCATGAAATACAAACAAACAAGAAGAATGTCAACAAAAGAGTATTACAAAAAAATTACTTTGTTCCACACAAGGCAACATGTTATAGGTGCTGTTACAGATCCAGCCCACTAGAGGGCCCTCCAGCTCACAGTGACTAACTACAGGATTGACGGATCCAGACTGAATTATTTTAATTTAACAAAAAGTAAATGAAATATTTCACAGCACATGGATGCACACACCGAGTTTCAGCAGCCATCCTTCTCTGTCTGGGTTGAAGAAGGTGTGTGTGAGGTCGTTCCCATCATCCTCTGGGATCTTAAAGGGTTCATTCTTGATGCTGTCGTACAGGTTCTACAGGTGGGGGGTGAGATAAAGGTGGTGAAATGTTATAATATGGATTATTGGGTGGAATATGAGCATGAATATAAGCAGGATATTTACTGGCAGTCATGTTTCATAGAAAAAAAAAGTAGAAGAGCAGAAATTGCTTTCGCATCTCAAGAGCCTATTTTCTATGAAATGGGACTGTCCTGACTATCTTTTGAAACGCTCAAGAGCACAAACACTTTCAAAATCCTTTTATTTGATGGCAGGAAAAATATTAATGATCCTCAGCATTGAGTGAGTTTGTTAGTTTGCGTGTTGGGGATGTGAAACCGACTGCAGCTCCATGTGACGTTCATCAAAGTAATATATAGTAATAATTTATATAAGATAAATCGACTGTGTTTTTGTAATAGTGCTTTTTTACTAAATAAATAATACTTTGTTTCTGAACAAGTATATCTCAGACTGTTTGTGTTGCTTAAATTTGAGTTGTTTAAGGAAAATCTCTCACCCTTAGTAGCTCCTCCGGCAGATCGCCTCCATCATTGATGCCTCTGTTCATCGCTGTGAATCTCTGAACGGTGGGTTTGTCCTTCACGTTAGGGTTGTGTAGACTGGTGTTCAACATGATCACAGCAAACGACAACACGTAACAGGTGTCTGTAAAACAAGCAAAGTGGGTGTACAATTTTTCAGTTTTTTGCGTGCCTCGGTGCCATCAGCTGATTTCAATTATTTACATTTTGATACAATAAGCAGCGGAAAGTGTACAGGAGTCTGTGATGTAATATTTCAGAGCCCTACATACAATATGGGGCCAGAATACATCATGTGAGAAGGACTCTTTGTCATTGACTCCGGTAATAAATTCTGTATTTTTTAGTTTTTATGTCTTACTCAACAAAACCAGGGCTGTCTGTTTCCTGAACACACACACACCCTTATGTACCTGTGCTCTGAAACACTCCGGGGTTACAGCGACAGTATCGCTGGGCGAACGCCTCCATCATGCGGTCGATCTTCTGAGCCTCACCAGGCAGCCTGAAGCTCCACAGGAACTGCCTGAGAGCCTGAACCAGGTTCAAGTCCGAGAACTCGTGTAATTCCAGGAAGGCGTGCAGAACCTCGATGTTGAAGTCATCTCTGCACAACACGCGCAAGCCCACACAAACACACACCCCCACATGCACACGCACACAGGGGGGAGTAAACAGAACGAACACAGGATCAAGAACTGAACGCAGCTCTGTTTCGCTCACTGAGTTGACAGCTAAAGGAGTTGGATGAGATGTGACAAATGAGATAACAGATTACTGGATGATCTTTTAGAACTGCTAATGCACCACCAGCTCATATATTTAGTATAATCTATTGATATGGCCTGAATTTTATACTAGGATTATCGCTTTTTGAAGAATAGGTTCTCTGAGTCCGTTATTCTCATTACTTCTGATGACGAATAGACCTTTTTTTAACTGAAGACTATTTAACATGTCACAACAGGAAAAGCACAGGAGTAAATAATATAATTAATGATGGCTCAATTCCATTTAGCTGCTTCAGTTTCAGGTGACTTACTGAAACACTTAAATAGAACGGAGCTATTGTTAATTTTATTAGTTACACCTGTGTTTTTCCTGCTGTGACAAGTCAAAATGTCTGCTGTAGAAAAATCATCAGTTGGAAGGGACGTCGTTAGTATCACTTACCTCTCCCCAAGGTAGTCGCCAATAGCCGTTTTATTAAGCCCCTCGCCCTTGTAGAGAAATTGGCCGATGTCATCGCTGGTGTTTTTCAGCAGGGAGCTGTCAATCAAGAAGCGAATCCCCTGAGGGAGAAAATCAGAACACACAACCCAGTCTTAACATCACACACTAAATATACAAATACACAAAATATGAAGATCAGAAAGAAATTAGTTTTTGTTCAGTGAGGTACAAACACCATCACTTGTTATTTCAATGCTTTAAAAAGTCCAAGACAGGGTGTCGGTTTCACCAGACATTAATGTAGAACTGCAACTGCCTAAAAGAACAATTGTAAGTAAAAATACCAAAAATCTCTGGTTGCAGGTTCTCTTACGTGAGAACTTAGGAGAAACTAAATCACGATCATAGTACTTTGTCACATACATAGTCACTTTGGGTTTGGGGCTAGTTAGTTAGGACAACACTAGGCATTTAAAAAGACGTCCCTGTGGACTATGGGAAACAGGCGTGTACATTTTCTGAGGTTTTTATAGACTTAATGATAAATCAAGAAAATACTCAACAGCCGAATCAACAATGAAAATAATCACTACTTGCAGCACTACACTGCGGTACATGAAGGAAGAGCCTGGCTCAACATTTATTCTCACCTTCTTGGGGTCCATGTTGAACTTCTTACGGCCCATGGCCATCTGTTTATTCCTCTGCATGCTTTTCCTAAAACCAGATTAAACAGAATAGAACCTCAATAAACGGCTCTCTGCAAACTCAAACACATTGTCAGTGTTTTAAACCCACTAATGCTGAAACAATAGATTTACCGTTAAATCAATTAAGTTATTTATCAAGCAAAAAATGCCATACATTCACTAGTTTCAGCTTCTTGAGTGTGAGGATTTGATGTTTTTCTCTGTTTTATGTAATTGTAAACTAAATGTCTTTGAGTGTGGAGATTCTTTCTCAACCTTGGGGACACATATCACACACCGCAGCCTTGCTCAGCTGAAGGAGGTGAAGCTTTCGATATGGTTGAAAGCTCCGAGAATAGTAAGTAGACCTTGTGTTTAGAATATCTGAAAGATTAATCGATTATGTGAACAATAGTTTGTTACAGTGGGTTCTGTTCTGAAGGTCAGGCAGATTTTTCTGGACATTTCCCTCATGAATGCACCTCCACTAAAACAAAGGCTGAGTGGACCATAGCTGCCCACGCACACGCGCCAAAATGGTTGATGAGAGATACTTTACCTCTCTTCAGTCAGGCCCAGGTTCTCAATCTCATTGGTCACCTCTGCTATCTCATCCTTCAGCCTCTGAGAGTAGACAGAGAGAGAGTGATGAAAAACAAGAGGAGGCAACAACAGCAGATACATACGTGTGACGTGACTTCTGACCTCTATGGAGATGCTTTGATCTCTAAGTCAGCACAAAGCATCACACATGGTTGTCTGCTCCAGCCACATCTCACTGACCAACACATCCAGACAAACACTTCTTAGTAAAGAGATGACCCAGAAAAAAAACCCTAAAAATGCAGACGTGATTCACTCTCCCCGAGTCCGACTCATTCTTCCTCACGGCAGGAGTTATGTGGAACAGATGCCCTCTGCAGAAAATTCTCTGTGGGAGCTGTAGCACCTGTTCTGGGGTCAGAGCTGACCACCATTCCCCTGCTACCATCTCCTGGCTCCTCCTCTCCCCTGTGCTGACCCAGATTTATCCCCCCTGACTCCCTCCCCGGTCTGTTTGAGTGCCACACTGGAGGGGAGACGGGAATATGCAGGATCAAAGACTTTGCCTGGCTTAGAGGAGCTGCTCCGGAGAGCTCAGAGGCAGAGGGGTTATGGGAGGAAAGAACTGAGGGGGGAAACAGACGGAGAAACACTGACGAACTAGGATAATTATAGAAGAGGCCGGTGTCTCAGATTAGAGCTTTAATCATCTGAAACTCTCCGTGAGTATGTGTATATGTGTGAAAACCAGGTAAAGAAGGTAAAAACTTCACTTGACTGGATTACTCCACGTGCGTCAATGGTTATAAACCCATATAAACGAACAGCGTCCTCCGTCTCCTGTACTGGAATATTTCATGGCTCATTACCCATCAGCCCGCCGGAGCAAGACAGGGCGGGGCTTTCAGGAGGAAAGCGCCAAACGAGAGTCGACCTCCGTAATAAAGCCATCAATCTATTCGCACAGTGCTGCTGCCCCGAGGGCATGTTTGTGTGGGTTTTTCTGTGTGTGTGTTTTGGTTGCTGACCGAGGACTAGGGATGAGGTTTGGTAGCATCAAATCTGAATCCTTTTGAATGTCTTATTGAACCTTTTAGGGCTGGGCGATATGGCCTAAAAATAAAATCTCTGATTTTATTTTTTTAATTCAATTTACGATTTTTTCCGATTTCCCCCCCTACTTAAGGAAAGCAATAAGTACAAACGACAGACTACTTAAAGCAAATTTTGCTTTTATTTAATCAAAAGCAAGACAAATGTAACCCCCATTTCTGGGATGAAGTAGCACCATTTTCTAAAGCATTAACAATATATTAAAATCTGAGGAAAACTAGACAGTGACATTTTTCATTGTGTCTAGCCCAAACAATGCAACAACATACAGGGATACATGACATGAACATGCACATCTTACTCTTAGCAGAATTAAATTTTTCAAACCAAAAACAAAAAATATTCTCTTTTATTGCACTTTGCATAGAATTTTAAATAACAACCTAAAGAGGCAACACCTCTGTCTTGGGTAAAATAGTAATGTAAACCAAAATTTAGCAGAGTACAAAATGTGCAAAATAAATTACACATCAACTCCAACTGATAAAGTGCAAACTTTGCTTTAAAAAAAATATACCGTGCCATTTGTGTCCCTGAAAGTATGAACAGAAAAGAAAAATCACATTTTGACTGAGGTGCAGAACATGAGATATGTGCTTAAGTTGCTGTCAATAACATTTAAACATTTTTGGCAAGGAAAATCAGCCTGTCCACTGCCTCTGGCTTGAGGCAAGCTCTGCTGCATGTGACAACTCCTCCCCCCACACTGAAAAGCCTCTCAGATGGGGCACTTGTTGCAGGAATACTGAGGTATTTCTTGGCCAGGTGACTGAGCCTTGAGAAGTTGAATTCGTTGCTCTTCCACCACTGCAGCGGATCGGTGTCAGGGTCTGCCTCTGGCAAGAGCAGATAGGTTGCCAGTTCAGTCTCTATTTTAGCTTCTTCCGACTGGTCAGAGGTTGGCAAAACAACACTCTTCTTGAAGAAGGTTGCTAAGGTCTTTTTCCTCTTGGGGTCTGGCTGAGGCCTTGCCTCTTCCTGGTCCACCTGCACAACTGGACCAGGCTGTGGTGTGCTTTTGTCAGTGGGGAAAGACAGAAGTTCACTGACAGCTCTTTTTTTACTTGCTCCACCTTGTCTGGGTCGATGTAGGATGTCCGGAACCTTGGATCCATCAGAGAGGCCATGTCCAAGAGCTCATCCTTGACAGGATCACTGTATTTCTCAACAAGGTATCCCAGTATCTTCCTTTTTATTGTTTTGGTAAGCTCCGTGTCGTTGTCCTCAGGCAGCAAAAGACTGGTTTTGAACAGATGGATAACAGGCTTGATGTATGAGACACTGACATACATTTCCCCTGATAGCGCATCCGTAAAGTCTTGGAGACCTTTAACCGCCTTGTTTACTGACTCCAAAACCTCGATGTCTTGCCAAGATGGCACAAGATGGCGGCTTTTAACATCAGACCCCAGGACACGGGCTATAGCCTTCTCCTGTTCCAGGAATCGCTCGATCATCTTTTGGCGGGAGCCCCATCTGGTAGGCGATTCTGTTGTTAGCTGATGAGGGGGAAGGCCAAGCTCTGACTGAGCTACACCCAGCTCTCTTCTTTTCTTCCAGCTGTAGGAAAAAGCAGCGACTATTTTCTTGCAAACTCCAATTGCACGATCTATGCGGGGATCCTTAACACCATTCTCTGTTTGATAACGAATAAAACACAAAGACATACATCACTATTGGGGACTTTAATAAATATCAGTCTACATCCATCTAAAAATTATTTATTTTCTTCTGTATTTCAAAACTTTGTCATTCCAAAACTCAGACACTGCAGATACACAAATAGAATTTTGTTTACTATAGGCATATGTGCAGATGTGGAGAAATTTGAATCCATTTTTTAAAATAATCTATTCTACTGTCTTTATGAATCAAATACAGATCAAATGGACATGTCATATTGAAACATCTTTTTTTTTTTTTGCTAGGCAGGCCTAATTAAAATATATATATATTAATAAATCACGTACAGCACTTAAACTTTTTAAACGGTGGATGAACCGCAGTCAAGTAGTCAGACACTCGTCTTTTCGTAGTTGAGTAGATGTTGGGTTGGCTGACTGAAAAAAAAAAAAAGAAAAAAAAGAAGAAACAACTCGTCTATTACTGCATGGCAGCAACTGTGTCCAGCGGGACTCACAGCAATCTAACCAAAACTTATCCATGCTGGACCCTCCTCTATTAGATATTTTGCTTGTGTTGTTCTCCTAGGTGTAAGTCGCTTTGGAAAAAAACGTCTGCTAAATGACAGTAGTAGTAGTAGTAGTATTACGAAAAGACGAGCGTCATCTAGCTTGACTGCGGTTTGGATGAGGATAATATATTAAATATAATAATATAATAGATATATAATATGTGCTCTGTCAAAATTGAATATTTTATTTTACTTATTGTTAGACTTACCAATAGCGTTGTGTAGTTTGTGTCCAAAGCACTGGAGGTTTGGCCATCCGTTCACTCGCAGGGCTTTAGTCATATTGGTGCCGCTGTCAGTTGTCATGCAGCATAGACGATTCTCAGACAGGTTCCAGCAGTCGAGAGCGTCTCTCAGTCCCTTGGCAACAAGTTCACCGGTGTGGTCGTCGGGAAAGTATGACGTTTGGAGGGAAATACTCCGCAAATCCCACCCATTGTTAATGAAATGCACCGTTAAACTCATATAAGGTTGCATAGTCCGACTGGACCACATGTCGGTTGTTGCCGAATAAAAGGACAGCTCCCCCAGTTCTCTGCTGACTTTCTCTCGTGTAATGTTGTACAGCTTGGGCAAGGCGACTTCACTGAAGTACTTGCGGCTGGGTAGCTCATATCTGGGGTCTAACGTTTTAATCAAATTAATAAACCCCGTCTTTTCCACGGTATATATGGGTACCATGTCTTTGGCTATATGCAAAGCGACCGCTTCGGTGATTGTTCTCCACCGTGCCCCTTTCCTGTCATATGCGGTGCCTTGTGCAAAGGATTCGGCTACAGTTAGCTGTTTTTTAGCTAAGGTTTGTTGGTCAGTGCGGCTTTGTTCATCGCGGAGAGACTGGCATTTTTCATATTCGGCTGGATGTCTCTGTTTCAGGTGTTGGAATAGGTTTGTGGTGCTGCTGCCTTTCACTGCGATAGGCTTTAGGCAAATGTTGCAGCGTGGTGTCTGTTGTTCCACATCTGTCGCAGCAAACCCATACCAGTTCCAAACAACAGATGACTTTATTCTTTTCTTGGGAACAAACTTCCCGCTCTCACCGGTAGCCATTTTGTCGCTTGCTGTTGCTGTTTAGTGTATGATGTTGTCGCTATGGGAAACGAACACTACGGAAACCCCGGGGAGCCAAAAATGTGCTATTACACAAAAACTCGATTTACTTATTTTTAAATCGCCCGCAACAAAAAATTCGAATTAATTCATTCAATCGATTTTTCGCCCAGGCCTAGAACCTTTATGGGTAGTTTGTTTGGTGGGGAATGACGACATCTTAGGTAACTAAATTGATTCTCTCAGCATCATACCTATATCACAGAGACTCTACTGTGTTGAAAGGGTGTAGGGCTTTCACCACATATTTTGTTACTGCTTTTGAGCCTGAATTGTTGTTGCACTGCTGCTGGTCCCAGAATGCCGTGTAATACTGGCAGTACTGGTAGTAGGCTGAGGCAGAGCACTCGTTCTTCTCTGGTTATCAAACATTTTATCTAAATAGATATCTAATGGTTTAACCGTTCACTGTAAAGTAAAGTTACAAACCAAGTAATACAAGTTTTTAAAGGCTGATACCAACATTTTTGTATTTGCCGTTTCATCACAGGAACCTTATCAGGGGTGTAAACCTTGTGAGATGCTATTTAGAGCATCATAAGTCACTGAAACCATAATTTAGGAATTAAAAACATTTTTTTTTTTAGATTAGCAGAAGTTCGGAGGCTCGCTCTGTGCCCTGGAGCCTCTCACGTTGTATGTGGAGAGAGGAATGTTGCCCAGACTACTCAACATTATGGAGAACACTTCACATCCTCAGTACAAACTACTGGTCAGACAACAAAGTCGGTAACTCCATTATTTCTGCAGTAAGGGCTGCTACAAGAAGTCATTTCAGGCCACGGCAATTGAAATATATAATAACTCCCCTCTGGGAAGGGAGAGGAGACATATTTTTCTGAAAGCAGGGTATACACTTTCTTACACAGATATAGTCAGAGAGAGACATCTTAAAGGCCCTACTACTCTAATGATGTATAGTAGTATAACCTAGTAGTTTAAATTAATATATTTTTACAATTGGTAATTGTGTTTTTTTTAATCTGCCTCACATTTTGTGTAAGTTGTATGTTTTGTAACTGTGATTTTATTTTTATTTTATGGAAACACTGCAATTTCTACATCTATCAATATTAATCAATACGTACATGCCCATATGTGCATTGACAGTAACTGTTGTCCGTCTCTTTCTCTCCATAATGGCCATAAAGAGATCCATTGCTTATACACTTGCTCTAAAGTAACATCTGTAGTCCTTGTTGAATGTGAGTATTGTTTTAAGACAGACCTGAAAATGTGAACTTGTCCTTTAAGGCAGAATCTCCCACCACACTTTTTCAGGTAAACTTAAGTCAACAACAATTTTAATAATAAAGCAACATGTAAAAAAGTATCCGATCCTGCATTCTCAAATGTTTACGTATGATTTATTCTCAAATGTTTATATCAATGTATGATTCAGTATCTTTTTGCTGTCTTATTGTTGATAAGTAACATTATCAATTCATCTGGCTTAAATGGGTCTCACAAGTTTCTAAAGCTCATGTTAATGTCATCAAATTACTGTACCACCAGTCCAAACCACAAATATTCAGTTTATTAAGAGAGAGAAAACCTCACAACTGGCAAACTGAAACTAGGGAATTTGGGAGAATACTGTTTACAAAATTACCTTTTTAATCCATTATAAAAATAGTTGACAATTAATTTTTCTGTCAATCAGTTAATCAGCCCAAATGAAAATAATCTTGCAGCCCTTGACTCCATTATATGGGAGTTGGATGAAATTAGTCCCATACACAACGGTAGAGGTATAGGGTCATTATTAGTTATTTTATGATTTTGGGACTACTTTTAACATTTATTTATCTTTGTTAATGAGGATTAAGCCAGCTTTCTCCCATCTTCCAAAACATATTACCCAGATTAAGAGCTGAAACAGACAGTACCACTAATTTATTTAAGGTTGTACGAGGCACTGGGATGGGGGGGGGGGGGTTAACCTGTCCCCCCAGGCAGAGCTAGAGTATGTACACACACACATATATATGAGGTACACCCCCCTCGTACACGTGGATCCCACACAAAGAGGATCATCTATCGTGAATGCATACAGTAACGCTCTGGTGGTAATACGCCTTTAGGCCCCACAACCCCCACCCTCCACCCACCCACACCTACCTCCCTAGGCACAGTGGTCTAGACAGGAAGGTACAAATCTACTCAAGGACACAGAGATAAGAAAAAACAACCTGAACAATGTGATGTTCAGACAAAGAGGGAAATACGGTAAAGATAACATGCTGTATGATTTGGTCATTCTTTCAATTCCCTGAAATAATTGAAAAGGTTTAAAAGGACAGGTTCATCATGTTTCAAGTCTGTCTTAAAACAATAGGTGCACATATGAATATTGAAACCATTTTTGCTGTAATTATTCCTCCTGTTCATACTGACAATTAAAAAATCCCTTCCGAACGTGCAGTCCTCGTTCTGTGCAAAAATGTATTGAAAGATTTGTGGATCAGTAGATATCTTCCAAAATTTGTGTTTTTAGAACCAAATTCCCTCTTTTTGTTACTTTCCTTCCACTGCAGCTCAACAAAAAAGAAGAATTTTACACAAGAAATGCAGTAACTTTAAAAGATATCCACTTGATTTGTCTAACTCAGACATCTGCAGCCTCATATTAACTTTAGATAAACGTTTTCTGCACAGAACGAGCACTGCGGATTCTGTCCCGCATTTTTTACATTGTAAGAACTGTGAACTTTTCATTTAAAATGTTTCAACAGTCCAGACAATAACAGGGTTCACAGCAGGGACAAAACCAAACTCCCTTTTTTTTGGCTGCACTGTTGAGAAAGCACTTTGCCCAAGCAGTAACAGCTGAAGGGCATAGCTACAGTGAACTACAGATAAATTCAGCTGGAAATTTGTTTAACAAATTGATTAAAGAAATAAAGGCGTTAGGAGGAAGTGTGTGTTGTTACTTGTATGTCATGCAGCAGCTCTTGTTTTCTGCGGCGGATGCTTTCCAGCTCCTGTCTCTCTTCTGGACTGAGGTCATCAGGCACTGAGGAAAGAAGCACATGTAGCACTCAGATACAAAGATCAAATACTCTCTCTTAGACACACACAGTGGATATAGTACACACACACACACACACACACACACACACACACACACACACACACACACACGCTGAAACATGATGACTTTTTGGTCATATTAGGAGGAGGAAATAATAAAAATAATAAATATCGTCTGCATTCTAGTTGCAACATTCATTTTAGATGGAACAAATTATACAATATAAAACAAAAGGCCATTTAATCACAGAAAAATGTTGTCAGTCAGTGTTGGTCAAAAATGTATTAACAGACGTCTTTTCACTAAATACCACGAAACCCATACGTGAAAAACTGCGTACAAATCAAACATGTTTTCACAGTTTTTCAGCTACACATTTGGTGACATTTTGATGAGAACAGTGTTTCTCTATCTGTTGTCAATGTTACATTAATGATGGACAACCTGTATGTTCAGGAGACAGAGAGACTCTGCAGAGACGAATGAGAGAAAACTACTACTTCTACATGTCTATGAAGATTCTCAGTCATCCAGGTCATAGTTACCCCAGGTGGGTAAAAAATCAAGGGCAACTGGACTTGGCTA